AGCCAAGAGAGCGATTGGTCTGCGTCCTCCAGCAAGCTTCTGTGGCATAACCACGTGAACATGCCGAAGGTGCCCAGGCGAGGATGACAAGCATTCACAGAGGTAGAACATATATCCCAAGAAAGACAGAGCTCCATCCGAGACAAGGGCCCAATGCTAAGGCCTCCAGCTGTCGGCCCCTGCCGCTCTTTTGACAGGAAACGCATTTGCGGCCTTTCTGAACACTCTGATCCCCATGGGGGGCGAACGAACACCCAAGTCTCGCAACTGATCCAGCTCGCGCCGGAGATCGCAGACGGGCGCTGGCGAAAACCCACCGTCCCAGATGCCTTCTCAGAAATCCCGCTGCACGTTGGCTGCGTCGTCGGCGTGACTCGAGGGGACTAAGTCCGCGTGGTCTTGAGAAGCTGCCGCCCTTGAGGTTTTGTCCAGCAGTGAACTGTCTTAGGGCGACTACTCAGGCAGTCCCGAAGCCATTTGACGAAGCCCTGACCTCGCGCCCGGCCGAGCCAACGCCCGTCGGCATCAGCTCGCCGAGACAAGACACCAGTCAAGGTGCGCAGAAATACCGCGCGGCACTGCGACGGCTGCACGAAAAGGCACGTGATGTAGTAAACCGTCTCCTCAAGCAAACCAGTGCCGGAGGGCGCCGAGAGACGCCGAAGCCGACCATGACCACCCGCGAAGTCGAGCAGCGGCTGCCATGTAGCAACATGCCTAGCCATGGGCACTGGCCCGTGCTTAGCAACGAGGTGCGCCAAATCTTCCACCCAGTGACGCAGCGTCCGAAGAGCGCGGGTGCACGTGGTGCCTGCAGGCTGCCGATGTGCAAGTGCACCGCCCGCTGTGGTCTTGTTGCAGGTCACCGTGGCGCCTCTACCCTGGTACTAACAGCGGCGCCGGCTCCTTTTTCAGCTCCTGCGTACAGACGTTGGCATGGAACATCGAATCGCCTTTCTCGAACTCGAGGATCCCCAGGTCCGCGCCTAGCGTCTCGTCGCATCATGCCCACCCAATCGATACCTGGATCGCCGAGCGGAACGGTATCATCAGTTTCGTCATCTGAGTCGTCTGTCGAAGTTGGTACGCGGGCTGGCTTGCCTGGAAGTACACGAAGCTCTAACAATTAAACCAGCTGTCGAGCGCGAGGTCGCGGCCCCAACTCAAGCCGCATTGGAAAGCGGAGACGCGGGGGATAATCTTCAACCCGTCTCGCGTCCGACATAGCAGCGGCCATCCCATCACTGGTAAGCCAGCAGTCCAGGAACGCGCATGCACCTACGGTCGGAACGCGATGCAGTCCCTGAGCGCTGACAACCAGGTGACCGTCCACGCGCTCAATGACAGCGCTCTCGCTGAAGGTCTGTGGATTCGCATTCCAATCACCTGCTATCACGCAGGGCGCTTTGTAGAAGCGGAGCGCACGCCCAAGCCTCTCCAGACGTGGGGCGTTGGCTCCTGCGAGGCCTAAACCTTGCGCCAGGTACACACTGCCAGCAATCACACCCCCGCGAGAGCCTGCATGAACGCACACAGCCACGCACCGCGATTTAACGAGCACATGATCTTGCACATTTGGAATAGCGTCCAAGTTGGTAGTGCCAACATATTGTTCCACGAAAAGCCCAAAACCAGCCATCGACTGATCTCCAGGGCCAATGTGACAATCGCTGATTTACAAGCTTTCCACCCGCGTCGAATGCGCCATTCTTCTGCCTGTTCACGCTGATCGCCTCTGACTCGGACCTCCTGCGACGCGACGATGAGAGCCCCAGCAGCGCCCTCCTCCAAAAAGTCACGTAGCCTGGTCCACCCATTGGCGCGGTAGGTGACGAAGACGAGGGGCTTGCGCCGGCCACGGCGAGCTGCCCATCTGAGTATGTAAATATTTGACAGAGCGTGATCCACCGCCGCTTTACTTTGGAAAATTGCCGCACTTTTCCTCCAGAACCCGGCGCCCCCCCCCCCCCCTCCGAAAATCCCCCCCCCCCCTGCTGGACCCCCCCCCCCCCCCTTCCCCGGGCAAACCCCCCCTCCCTCCCCTACCCCCCCCCCCTCGAACTCGAAAACGGGGGGGGGGTCACTGCCGGTTCGAAGCCCCCCCCCCCCCCATCGAAAACCGAACGGGGGGGGCCGGCTACCGGTTCGAACCACTGAGCTGTCCCACTGTTCCCACCACTGTCCCCCCTGTCCCTACCACTGTCCCCACTGTACCTCTGTCCCATTGTCCCACCGCCGTCCTCGCCACCGCCTTCACCACTGTCCCCACCACCACTGTACCCTCCACTGTCCTACTGTTTCCACCACATTCCCACTGTCCCCACACCACTGTCCCCACCACCACCGTCCCCACCACTGTCCCACTGTCCCCACTGTCCCCACCATTGTCCTCACCATTGTCCCCGCCACTACCGTCCCCACCACTGTCCCACTGTCCCCACCACTGTCCCGCTGCCCCCTCCGCTGTCCCCACCACCACCGCCCCCGTCACTGTCCGCGCCCGCCCTCGGTTTTCGAAGGGGGGGGTTCGAACCGGCAGTGGCCCACCGCGGTTTTCGAGCTCGAGGGGAGGGGGGGGTTCGAGCCGGCAGTGGGCCCCCCCCCCCCCGGGCCCCCCCCCTTTTCATGATGAGCTGGGGGGGGGAAGGGTTCAAACCGGTAGTGACCCCCCCCGGTTTTCGGGGGGGGGGGGTTCGAACCGGTAGTGACCCCCCCCCGGTTTTCCGCCAGCAGCGGTAGAACGCGCTCTTTCAAATATTGAAGCGTCGGCGATCGCCTCTCGCCACTCACCGCGCCTGCCTCCTCCGAGCTACCACCCCCTGGATTAAAAAAATCCGGATCGGCGCTGCAGGCCCCCTTGCATCATCGCCCCCCGAGAGGTAAACGTGACTGGCAAGAAGTACCAGGCATAATCGCAACTCCCAAGCAACATAAGTGGGGCCAGAAATTTATTTGCGAGGAAGTCCCAAGCGAAATCGCCAATTTCCGGTCGCCACTGCGAATTCCCGGTCGCCTGAAAAGCGTCCGGACATTTTTTTGGAGGAAGTATTAAGCGGAATGCGGATTTCCGGTCGTCACCCCATTTGGCGATTATGATATTAGAGGGGGTGAGGACGGACCAGAAATTTAACCGCGGCGGCCCCTGTAACGTTGTGCCGGGGCCCCGTGGCCTCACGGGAGCCGAACATCAAGGCTTATTCCCCGACCTCTGCGGTCCGGACTTTTTATTCCAGGGGGTTGTAGAATCCAGCAAATCGGCCTGGGCGCCCAGGCCACGCACTGATCTGCCGACTCCTGTGCCGACTCTGCCATGGGCCTGGGCCACCTGGCCCGCAACGAAGGAACCTGGGGCCAGCCCAGGATATTGAACTGCTGCTGCGCGTAGTTCAGACATAGGTAGATCGTCCAGGAAGCAGACCTGATTGTTGAACAGCCGCGGCATATCGATAATATAGATGAGGTCAAGTGCCCACCATCGATGCATCCTCTGCTTCCTGCTGATGGAGAAGCTGATTCCACGGACGCTCTGCGGGGGCACCAGGCGCTTGCTGTGCTGGCTGGGGCTGAACAGGCTGCGACTGCTGCGATTGCTGCGCGACGGACTGCAACTGGACCAACTGATCACTGAGCGTCTGCAACATAGCCTGAGGGTTGCCAGCCAAGATGGCTGCTGGGGCCCCAGCCACCACCGTCTAAAGCCGATCCAAAACGTCCTGTAGCGATGGCGTCGTAGTAGACCCCTGCGCCGTGGACGCGAGGACCGCAGTCCTGGCCAAGTTGACCTCGACCTGCATGTTCTGCAGCTCCGTGGTGGCCTGGTCGAAAGCGGTCTTTTTCTCCTGCAACTATGTCTCGAACTCCGCGACCGCCTTCTTAAGATCTTCCACCTGAGGGACCGACGTAGCATATCGTCGGGAGTGCGAGTCTGCTGCTCGCGTTCCTCTGCCACTTGAAGATCTCGCTTGGTTTGTTGAAGGACTGCTGCATCTTCTCCGAGGCCCAACTTACGCAATGCCCCAAGAGCCCGGCGAGCCTGGGCGACTTCGTCAGCAGGACTCGCTGGCCCGCCGCTCTCGCCTTCCTTCTTATCCTTGCCACCTCCATCAGCACGGGGCCTCGAGGTAGCTCTGCGTGATGATGGCCGCTGCCGCGATACAAAGCCAGGATCTGGCACACCACGGCGGTCGCGACCACACTGAAAACACTTCTGATTGCTCGCGTAGTTGCCCCGGAAGCCGCACTGGCGTGTCGCCACGCAAGCCCACTTCGGCTGCTTCTGGAAATTTGATCGCTTGCCTGCTCTGGCGCCGCCGCCGTCTGCTGCACCACTCATAAGAGGCTCCTGCGACCCGTGATGATTCTTCAGCAAGCCCCGTAACTTCTCAACCTTCAAGATGCGTCTGGCAGCAGATCGGGCGCGACGTCGCCTTCGATGCAAGGCTGGAGGTCGAGACCTGCCTGAGGGAAGGAATACTGAATCGAGAGTCGACCCGCGCCTGGGCAAGCGCGGGCCTGGGGCGGGCAGTGCGGAGGAGGAGGAGGAGGAGGAGGAGGGACGAGGAGGAAGAGGAGGAGGAGGCGGAGGAAGAGGAGGCGGAGGAGGAGGAGGCGAAGGAGGAGGAGGAGGAGGAGGATGAGGAGGAGAAGGAGGAGGGAGGAGGGGAGGAACAGGAGGAGGAGGAGAGGAGGAGGAGGAGGGGGGGAGGCGGAGGAGAAGGAGGGGGGGGAGGAGGAGGAGGAGGAGGAGGAGGAGGAGGAGGAGGAGGAGGAGAAGGAGGAGGCGGAGGCGACGGAGGGAGGAGGAGGAGGAGGCGGAAGGAGGAGGGGGAGGCGGAGGAGTCGAGGAGAGGCGAGGGGGGGCGGAGGAGGAGGCGAAGGAGGAGGAGGAGGAGGAGGAGGAGGAGGAGGAGGGGGAGGAGGAGGAGGAGGAGCCCTCGGCGCCCGCGTCCCTCGCGGCCCCCAGGCAATCGGCGTGGCCAGCAGGCGCCCCTGGATATGACGATGCCCACCCAGACGAAGAAGAAGAGGCAGAGGGCCAATGTGAAGAGCACGTCGGCGAACCACGGCACGGACCGCACCACCCGCTCCGCGGCCTCAGAGCAATCACAGACACCCTTCTCTCGCTTCTCCTCCTCCTCCTCTTCCTCCTCCTCCTCCTCCTCCTTCTCCTCCGCCTCCTCCTCCTCCTCCACCTCCTCCTCCTCCATGAGGATGAACATCCAGATGAGGACACATCCTCCGATGAGGATCTGAGATCCGGCAGGTCTGGAAGATGCCTTGGCGCCGCGGCCGTTCCGGAGCGGCCTGGAGCGCCGTGGGAGCGTTCCAGACCGCTCTGGAGAGAGAACCGTCCTCGTCCCAGGGACCTGGGCCTGCCTGACGCCTCGTCCCCCTCCTCCTCGCCCCCCTCCTGGGGGAGCAGGCAGCCCACAAGAACTCGCCGAAGAACCGACAGGACACAGAAACGGAGGCCCCGAGCCTCAGTCAGGCGACGGTGGAGGCGACGTCTCAGAGAGGCGACGCCTCAGGCGACGGTGCGGCACGAATCGCCCACTTCGTGAGCGGAGCGTGCAACGCGAACCGCCCACCTCGCAAGCGAAGCGCGCAGCACAGATCGCCCACTTGGTGGGCGGCTGCTCCTGCACTGCGCACTGCTCCGACCCACCAGCACCCACGCAACGGGAGGCGACAGCGAGAGGAGCACCTCGGCGAGCCTTAAGGGGGGGCGCGAGGCCGACCCCCCTCCCTGCCTGGCTCTGAGCCCGCCCCCCTCCGCTCCGGCAGGGGCTCGCCCCTCCGCTCGCGGGAGCCCCCTGGGAGGCCTCCGGGCCCCCGCAGAGCCACGGCGGGGCTGCCCGACTCGCTCGGACGAGAGGGGGGGGGCGGGTAAGCCGGTCCGCTCACGCCGCCAGCGTCCCTGGCGCCTCCTGGCGTGGCGGGCGCCGGTGCGGTCGAAGAGAGCGCGCGGCGGAGGGCCGAAGTCGGCCGCACGCAATAGAGATGTCGTGCCCCCCTGTTCCCAATGCCTCCGATCCGTCCGAAGCGGCCATGGAGGATTGCCTCGACACGACGCGCGACACGTGACATGCGGCACGAACACGCGGCCGACACGCCGATTGACACGATTCGGTACGGCACAGCACAGATCGACGACGTGACACGCAATGCCCCCCCTTGCAACGTAGTGTTCCTAGCGGCAGGGAGGTCGGCCCTCGAAATGGGCCAGAAGCTGGGGACCCCCCCACGTGCACTTCCTCCTTTTCCTCCTCCCCCTCCTCCTCCTCCTCCTCCTCCTCCTTTTCCTCTTCCTCATTATCGCCCTCCTCCTCATCCTGCTCCTCCTGCTCCTCCTGCTCCTCCTTCTCCTCCTCCTCCTCCTCTCCTCCTCCACCATCCTCCTCATCCTCCTCCTTCTCTTCCTTGTCGGTCGGTTCGGCACACATCAGCGACGAAACTATTGCGTTCTTCTCTGCAAGAAGCTCAAAAGACGTACAATTCAATCGGGTAATCACTACAACGCTGGAGTGCACACTAAGGGGCGCAGGAGGTGTGAAGAGAAAGAACAATTGAGAAGCCCGCGAGGGTATACAGCAGTATACAAGCAAGCATTGGTAGGGTACCTTTTCCTCCCACATGCCAACCATACCCAAATAGGCATGATTTTTTTTTATCGTGACAGCGCTGGCGCCTGCGGCAGCGCGCTACTGTGCAGGGCCAATGATACAATGCCCTAAAAGTTCATCGAAGATGGTAGGGCCAGTGTAGCGATACACTGGCAACCAGGGATGGGACGATGTAGAGATGCCCGTGGCGATTGCCTTCGCCGGGTGCCAGGTCAGTTCATCATCCAAGAAAGCCCCCGCCGAGGGTTTAATGCATTGCCATCTCCGCCGCGTATACTCCCACCTCCTCCCCTCACATCCGCACGCTGCCCTTTCCCTTTTGGGTCGGTGCCCTCGCTGGGGGTCCGTGCCGGAAGACTGTCTTCACCGAGGTTCTCCTTGCCGTTTCCCGACTGCCCTCCTCGAGGGTCGGCGGTGGACAAACCTCCCTTTAGTAAACCACCCTTTAGTGAAAACGGCCTGGGACCGAAACCGACGGACCTGGACCCGCAAGAATGACGGCCCCGACGCCCTCGCGAACCAAAAACAGCCAATTCGCTAGTCGACGTCGGGGTAGGAGGTTTATCAACCTCCGAGAAGGTCTATGCAGGCGTGCACACGTACCTACTCAAGCGATGGGTGTACATGGGCACTGCCTGCTCGATACGGATCAGCCGCCAGCCCCCGCCGAAGGCCCCAAATCGAGCCGCTAACACAGACGCAGCGTCGTCTTCGTCGTCCTCGACGTCCACGCGTCGTCCTCGTAATCGCAGCGTCGTCCTCGTCGCCCACGCCTCCCCACACACAGATACCGTTCCATCGGAGGTCCTCCTGCCCTCACCGAGCGCCTGGCGGTCGACTCGCTCGCGGCGGTCACCTCTGTCGACTTCGCATTCTCCAGCCGGCAAGGGCCAGGGCCACTCTTGCCGGCGCCCCTCCCCCACCAACCCTCCCCTCGCGCAAACCCGACTGCCCTCACCAAGCGTCTGGCGGTCGACTCGCTCGCGGCGGTCGTCTTGCTCGGTTTCGCACCCTCCAACCGGCAGTGACCGGGGATACTCGAATATAACGCTGGCGGCTAACCTGCAGGTGCAAATATGCGATGGCTGCCCTCTTCGAGGGTCTTGCTGGCGCCCCTCCCGCCCCAACCCTCCGCCCCATGTTCCCCCCCCCCCCCTCGCGCAAACCCTACTGCCCGCCAACCTTCCGCCTCATGTTCCCCCTCATCCCCTCGCTCAAACCCGAGTGCCCTCATCGAGCGCCTGGCGGTCGACTCGTTCGCGGCGGTCTCCTCCTCCTCCTCCTCCTCCTCGCACGTAGCTCGGATGAAGTTCGTGGTCGATTAGCTCGCTCGATCGTCCTGTTGCTGTAAGAGCTGCGCTCTGGCAGCTCGGGCATGCTGTCCTCCTCCTCCTCCTCCTCATCATCATCCTCCTCCTCGACCTCCTCCTCCTCCTCGTCCTCCTCCTCCGTGTCGCACACACAGACATGTCATTAGGGCGGGCCGGGCCTTTCGCTTGAGGCTTCCTCACCATGTACGATCCTGGAGCTTGAGAGGAGCAGCAGCGTCACGGATGGAGGGCGCGCTGCTTTCAGAATGTGGCTCTCGCCTCGGCGCCCAGCGCGTTCGTCTCGAAAGCTTGCCGCAGTCTCGCGGGCGCAGGGCGGGCCGACTTCGAGCCGTGGCTCTTTGGCCCGGGCGCCGCGCACACCCGGGCCAGGAGTGGGCCACGGCTTCGCGGGCGGAGGGCGGCTTCTCTTCGAAGCGGGGCTCCCGCCTGCAGCAGCTTCGCGGACGGAGGGCGGCTCCTTCTCGAGGCGTGGCTCTCGATCGAGGGCCGCGCACACCGCTGTCAGCAGTCTGTCGGGCTCGAGGGACTCGTGTGGGCGAATTCCAGGGAGTGGTGTTCTCATGCGCGTCAGAATCGTCAGGACGCAACAATCGCGTTGATTCGCTGGGTTGGGGTCCCAGGACCTGTCTTCTGGCACGATCTAGGACTGTCAGAATGCAGCGGTCAGGACGGTTCGCGCTGCTGAAATCCCAGGAAGTGCGTTTTGGTGCGATTGAAGATTGTCAAGCGGTCTTCTTCCAGTGGAAGCTTCCCGCGATGAAGATACAAACTTGAAGGTGAAGAGGGAGCTTGGCGGGAGGTTTTATTGTAACACCGTTGGCGCGTGTTGGGTTTACACTGGTCCTCCGTCTCCTCACCCTGCCGCTGCTCCACCCGCAGCTCCGTTTTCTACCGGCGGGATGGTGAGAAAAGGCCTTTCAACAAGCGACCCACACGCCCCTCGTCCTCCGGCATATCCATCCGCCCCCAGCTTCTTCCCTGACCAGCCCCCGTCCGCCACGTCCCCCTCCTACTGTTCATAGTCCTATGATTATCACCCATCTCCTCGATGATGGTCCTCCGCATGGCACGCCCTGATACTCCTTCCCCTCCTTCTCATCATCCTCATCCTTTCCCTCTTCGTCCTCGTCCCCCCCGCCTACCCCATCTCTTCCTCCCTTCTGCTTCGAATCGTCATCAGCATCACCATCAGCATCAACATCAACATCATCATCATCATCATCATCATCATCATCATCATCATCATCATCAGCAGCAGCATCATCATCATCATCACAACCATGACAATGATCATGATCATGATCATGGTCATGATCATGATCATGATCATCGTCATCGTCATCGTCATCGTCATCATCATCATCATCATCATCATCATTGTCGTGAAGCGTTGTCGTCATCGGCGTCGTCGTCACCAACATCATCATTGCCGTCATCTTTCCCACAACACTCGTCACCATCCGAAACCAGCATCACGCTCATCATCATCAGCATCATCATCATCGTCATCATCATCAGCATCAGCACTAGCATCAACTCATCGTCATCTTCATCGTCATCGTCAATCCTTATATGTATGTCCTGCCATGAGCACTCCATTATCCTACTCCGGCTCCTAATCATACACGTCGGCCCTCATCATCATCCTACCAAGTATCGACCCTCCTTTTCAGCTCACACAACCCCCTGGCGCCGCCCTCTTCCCGTCTCCATCCTCCTCCTCCACCCCCTCGTCTCTCATCCCTCCTCACTCACCTCCGCCTAATCACCAAACTCCCGGTGCCCGTCATCCCCGCCGGTCCATCTCCCCCTCCACGTCACTCCTCCTCGCCTTTTCTCACCCTCCACTCAGCATCCTGATCATGTCCCCTCATCATCCTCACCACCACCACCTCTGCAACAACAATGAAAATTATGAATCGCACCATTGTCATCAACATCATCATTATCTGCATCACCGTCACCATTACCAAACTATTATGGTTACCACAACCACATCATCGTTCTCAGCATGGTCGTGGTCACGGTAATTCGCAACAGTAGCAACACAAGTTAGTAAGCATCATCACCATCGTCATCATCACCACAACCACCATCATCCCCCTTATCCCCAACATTACTCCTCTCTCGCTCCCTCCTGAATGTCTCCTTTCTCCTCCCTCTTCCACCTCCGCCTCCTGCTCCACGTTATCCCCCATCTCCTCCTCCACCAACTCCTGCCCCTCACCTTCCTTCCACTAATCCTCCTCATCCTCCTCTCCCTCGTCCCTTTCCCCCTTCTTCAACCTGCTCTTCCAAAAAAACATCCTCATCATCCCCCCTTCCTCCTCCCTCCTCCTCTTCAATCCTCCTCTCTCCTCCTCCTCCTCCGCCCTCCTCCTCCCCTTCCTCCATCACTTTCTCTCCTCCCTCCTCCCATTACTCCATCCTCTTCCTCCATCCCACATCCCCCTTCTTCCTCCCTCCTCCTCTTCACTCCTCCCCCTCCCCCTCCCCCTCCCCCTCCTCCTCCTCCTCCTCCTCCTCCTCCTCCTCCTCCTCCTCATCTATACCTTTCCCTTATAAATAACTTTTCCCTGTCGCAGCTCGAGGCCAGTTTTTAGGACGGGCCGGGCGTTTCGCCTGAGACTTCCTCACAACTTATGACCCTGAAGCTTACATTGGCAACAGCTTCACAGATGGAGGGCGGGTCGTTTTCAAAAAGTGGCTCCCGCCTTAGCGCGGCGTACAGTCGTCTTGAAAAATTGCAAGAGTTTCACGGATTGAAGGCGGGTGGTTTTCAAAAAGCAGCTCTCGCCGTAGCGACGCGCACATGCGTCTTAAACATTTGCAAGCGAATCACGGATTGATGGCGACTTGCTTTTTTTAATGATACTCTCGCCTTAGCGCGGCGCACATTTGTCAAGAACTTCACTGCTTGAGGGCGATTCATGTTCAAAATGTGGCTCTCGCCCCAGCGCCGCGCACCTTCGTTCATACAATTTGCAAGGGTTTCAGGGATTCCCATCATCAATATACAAGAAATGATGATTTAAAAGGATTCAGGATTATGCGGGTGCAACAGTTATATTAATTAGCTGTGTTGAAGTCCCAGGAATGGCGTTCAGGCATGATTCAGGATCGTCAAGGCGCAACAGTCAGGTTAATCCGCGGCGTTGGAATACCGAGAACAATATTTTGGCATGCTTCAGGGTCTTCAAACAGTTGCCTTCCAACGAGGGAATTCCCTCAATGGAATTGAACCGCTGTTGGGGCCTATGAAGAGGAAGCTTGGAGGGAGGGTTTATTCCGACATCGTTGATGACTCTTGGGTTTACGCTGGTTCTCCTCCTCCTCCTCCTCCTCCTCCTCCTCCTCCTCCTCCTCCTCCTCCTCCTCTCTCCTCCTCCTCATCATCATCATCCTTCCACTTCCTCATCCCTCCCCCTCCTCCTCCTTCCCCTCCCCATACTCCTCGAGGAAGAGGAGGAGCAGCAGCGGCACAAGCAGATAAGCAGCAGAGAAGCGCAGGTGGAGCAAGAGGAAGAAGCAGGGAATGCAGGAGGGGGGAGGAGGGCGAGGCAGGAGAAGAACGACCATCCTCCCCCCTCCTCCTCCTCCCCCCTCCTCCTCGAGGCCTCCCGCAGGTTCGTGGTGAAGGCCAGGAAGATGAAGGGCCGCAGGAGGCGCGTCAGCTTGAAGGTTCCTCTCGGCCCACCGAGACGCTACACGACCCCAGCACCAAGCAGGTTGTCGTCGTCGTGCCCGCCGCCGCTGGAGGGGGGCGGGGCTATCTGGGTGCGAGTGAGACTGGGTGTGCGTGTGTGTGGATGGGTCTGACTACCTACCAGACCACCCCAACCCAACCCGAAGACCCGAATCCCACCAGCCCTCTGGGCGTCGGTGGTCTAGAGAGTTTCCTCTTCCAACCCCCTTCTTCCCCTTCGGGGAGGGGTTTACCCCTCCCCCAAGGCATGAAAGATTTTTGCCCTGGTGCCGGTGCCGGTGCCTGTGCCGGTGCCGGTGCCGGTGCCGGTGCCGGTGCCGGTGCCGGTGCCGGCGCCGGTGCCGGTGCCGGTGCCGGTGCCGGTGCCGGTGCCGGTGCCGGTGCCGGTGCCCGTGCCGGTGCCGGTGCCGGTGCCGGTGCCGGTGCCAGGCCGGTGCCGGTGCCGGTGCTGGTGCCGGTGCCGGTGCCGGTGCCGGTGCCGGTGCCGGTGCTGGTGGCCGGTGCCGGTGGCCGGTAGCCGGTGCTGGTGCCAGTGCCGGGGCTGGTGCCGGTGCCGGTGCTCGTGCCGGTGGCCGGTGTTGGTGCGGGTTCTTGTTGTTTTCCCAAAACATCCTCTCCTTCTCCCTCCCGCCTCCCGCCTCCCAGCAGTGCCCCTCCCGCTCCTCCAGGGAGGCCCCGCCTGAGCGAGGAGGGTAACGGAAACCCATACTATCTACATGGTTTCGTGCCCTTCCCACCTCTCCAGCCAGGGAGGCCCCGCCTGAGCGAGGAGGGTATCCCACCCCTCCAGCAGGGAGGCCCCGCCTGATTGAGCAAGGAGGGTATCGGAAACCCATACTATTTACATGGTTTCGTGGCCCCCCCACCCCTGCAGCAGGGAGGCCCCGTCTGAGCGAGGAGGGAATCGGGAACCCGTAGTATTTACATAGTTTCGTGCCCTTCCCACCTCTCCATGGAGGCCCTGCCTGAGCGAGGAGGGTATCGGAAATTAATAAAGATTACATGGTTTCCTTCTCCTCCCACCCCTCCAGGCAGGCCCCGCCTGAGCGAGGAGGGTATCGGAAACCCATGCTATTTACATGGTTTCGTGCCCTTTCCATCCGCCTGAGCGAGGAGGGTATCGGAAACCCATACTATTTACATGGTTTCGTGCCCTTCCCACCTCTCCAAGGAGGCCCCGCCTGGGCGAGGAGGGTATCGGAAACCCATGCTATTTACATGGTTTCGTGCCCCTCCCACCCCTCCAGGGAGCCCCCGCCTGAGCGAGGAGGGTATCGGAAACCCATGCTGTTTACATGGTTTCGTGCTCCTACCACCTCTCCAGGGAGGCCCCGTCTGAGCGAGAAGGGTATCGGAAACCCATGCTATTTAGATGGTTTCGTGCCCCTCCCACTGACATGGGTGAGGAGGAGGGGAGAACATTACCTATCCATCTCAGGTCCTACTCCTCCCACTGAGGAGGGTGAGGAGGAGGGGGAGTTCTGCGATGAGGAAGGCTTCGTCATGATGATGGTGATGACGATGGTTATACTGCTGTTCACGATGACGATGACGATAGCGATAATGGTGATGGACGATGACGATGGCGATAACGGTGATTATGATGATGATGCTGATGATGATGACGATGATGATGATGACGATGACGATGATGACAACGATGGCGACGACGACGAGGATGATGATGCAGATGCTGGTGATGATGACGATGCTGCTGCTGATGCTGACGTTGCTGGTGCTGTTGATGATGATGACGACGATGATGCTGATGATCATGACGTCCACGATGATGCGGACGATGATGATGCCAAAGACGGTGATGGTGATGATGATGACGATGCTGATGATGATGACGATGATGATGATGACGATGGTGGCGACGACGATGATGATGATGACGCTGGCGATGATGACGATGCTGATGATGATGATGATGATGAGGATGATGATGATGATGATGGTTATGATGATGCCGATGATGCTGACGATGATGATGATTATGTTGATGATGTTGATGCTGATGATGATGGCGATGATGCTGATGATGACGACGACAAAAGGGTGACGACGATGCTGCTGATGATGCTGATGATGACGACGATGATGCTGGTGATGATGATGATAATGATGATGCCGAGGATGAGGAGGACGAGGAAGAGCAGGACGACGAGGAGGAGGAGCAGGAGGAGGAGCCGCTTGAACGAGGAGGGTCGCGGACAGCACTATTCTTTACCAGGTTTCGTAGGCCTCCCCCCTTCCAGCGGGGCCCCGCCAGAGCGAAGAGGGTATCAACAACCCGTACTATTTACAAGGCTTCGTTTCCTGAGCACCTGTCCTCCCTCCTCCTTTTTCTCGTCTGCCCTTTCGTGCGTACTTACTCGTTCGATGAGCTTCTCCTTCGTGTTGATGTTGTCGTACCCCATGGGCCCCACGAAACTGTTCATATTTTTTATGGGGGAAACTGCGTTTGCATAATTTTACCATTGATTGGACTGCAATCGATTCCACTGGGTTTGCACTTGATTGGCTTGCAACCGGTTGGATTGCAACCGCTGGGGGGGCGCACAGGGCAGCGACGAGGAGGCGGCGACGGGACGGTGACGGCGACGAGCAAGGAACCGCCAGACCGACCCTCAGGCCAAGACGACGGGCGGCGACGACGCAGCAAGGGGGGGCGACGGCAAGGACGGAAAAACCAGACCGCCCCTCAAGCCCAGACGACGACGGGCGGCGACAAGGCGGCAACGGCGAGGAGGAGAGAGCCGCCAGACCGCCCCTCGGACGACCCAGCTAATACTAGGAAAGAAGAGAGAAGGCCCCCTAAGTGCAAGCACTGTTGGGAAATGTCATGATGTTCAATCAATGATGTTTTTCATCCGGTGCCAGTGCTGGCGCCGGCGCCGGTGCCGGTGCCGGTGCCGGTGCCAGGGCTGGTGCCGGTGCGGTTGCGGGTGCGGGTGCAGTGCCGGTGCTGGCGCCGGCGACGGCGACGGCGCTGGTGCCCGTGCCGGTGCCGGTGCCAATGCCGCCGGCGCAGGCGCCGGTGCCGGTGCCGGTGCCCGTGCCGGTGCCAGTGCCGGTGCCGGTGCCGGTGCCGGTGCCGGTGCCCGTGCCGGTGCCGGTGCCGGTGCCGGTGCCGGTGCCGGTGCCGGCCGGTGCCGGTGCCGGTGCCGGTGCCGGTGCCGGTGCCGGTGCCGGTGCCGGTGCCGGTGCCGGTGCCGGTGCCGGTGCCGGTGCCGGTGCCGGTGCCGGTGCCGGTGCCGGTGCCGGTGCCGGTGCCGGTGCCGGTGCCGGTGCCGGTGGGCGAGAATCGTTCTATAGTGCCTCCCCCTACCCCCTCCCCTGGACCTGGACGGAGGGTTCCGCGGGTCGTTGGGGCGTCCAAGATGGCCCAAGACGGCTCCAAGGGCGAAAAGGCGAGAAAGCACAAAAACATGTATTTCCCTAGGTTTTGGAAGAAGAGGCGATTCGAGGCACTCTAGAGGGGCAGCGCTAATTACACCCCCCCCTTCTTTGATAGATCTCCTCCAACATGGCCCCAAGAGCGCCCCGAAGGCTCCCAAGAGCGCCCCAAGAGCGCCCCAAGAGGGCCCCAAGAGGCCCCAAGAGGCTCCAAGAGGCGCCCAAGAGGCGCCCAAGAGGCCTCCAAGAGGCTCCCAAGAGACCCCCAAGAGGCCCCAAGAGGCTCCCCGAGATACGCAAGAGGCCCCCAGGACCGCCAAGAGGCCCCAAAGACGGCCCAAGAGGCCCCCAAGCTCGCCATTGTCCTCCTCCTCCTCCTCCTCCTCCTCCTCCTCCTCCTCCTCCTCCTCCTCCTCCTCCTCCTCGTTTTCTTCCTCCTCCCTCCTCCCCCTCCCTCTCCTCCTTCTCCTCCTCCTCCTTCTCATTCTCCTCCTTCTCGTCCTCCACGTCCTCGCCCTCCTCCATCTCCTCCTCCTCATCTTCCTCCTCCTCCTCCTCCCCCTCCTCCTGCTCCTCCTCCTGCTCCTCCTCCTGGTCCTCCTCCTGGTCCTCCTCTTCCTCCTCCTACTACGACGACGTCGACTCCTCCGACATCCTCCCCCTCTTGGGGTATATGGCGGCTTACCCCGCCCTTTGTTCTTCTGCGTGCTCCCCCGCTTCCCTCATCACCTCCACTCCCCTGGGACTCATTTCTGGACGGGCTGGTGGGGATACGCGAAGCGTTTAGAATTTCGGGTTTGGGGGGGGGTGCGGGTTCCACACGTGTTTTCTCACTGCGACCCGACACCCCCCCACTGGAAACGGAGGGCAAAGCGGGGCCTTCGGGTTGGGTTGGGGTGGTTTGGTGGGCGGTGAGGGTCTGCATGTCGGCAGCAGGCGAGGCGGAGAAATCAGAAGGAGAAGGCCCTCTCAAAGGCCGAGGGACTTCTCAGAAGCCCTCGCGCCTGCTGAGAGGTTTTCTGCGTCTTCGGGGGAAGGCTCAGAAAACTTCTCGGAAGGTCGGGGGACTTCCGAGCCTTCTGAGAAGGTGTTCTCCTTCCCACTTCCCCCCCTCGCTCGCCGCCAAGAATGTGAATGAGTCTGGGAATTGAGGATCCGAGTGCGAGCGGTCTGCTTGTATGGTTTGGGGCATGACGAGTCTCGGTGTGAGTGGCCGGGTGTGGGCGAATCTGAGCATGAGTGGGTTTGCACGCGAGCGGGTCTGAGCATGGGCGGTCCGACTGTGTGCGTGCGTGTCTGGCTGTGAGGTGGTCTGAGCATGAGCGCGAGTGCATCTGAGTAGAAGGGATCTGACTGCGTGTGAGTCTGACTGTGAGTTGGTCTGGGCATGAGAAGAGTCTGGGGATGAACGATATGAATGTGTGTGAGTCTGACTGTGGGTCTGGGCATTAGTAATCTGAGCGTACAAGGGAAACGCCAGGAGGGAAACTGAGGTGGAGAGGGTCCACTAATAACAATAAACCCATCTTCGAAAATGGGGAGCAACCAAACACATGCGTTTCCCCTTTGCTTCCTTCCTTGTCCTCCAGGGGAAGACGCAGTCGCTGGGGAGCCGCAGCTGGGTGGCGTCACGGAATGCCACCCTGAGGGCGGCCGTCTTCGGCGCCTTTTGGGGTCGTCTTTGGGCAGTCATGTGCAGACGTATCTTCGGTCGTGTTGGCTCTATATTCAGGCATTGACCCCCTCGGGGCATCTTGTGGCGCTCTTGACCTTTTTGGGGCTCTTCTTGGAGCCTTATCGGCGCCCCGCCCGTTGGATCGTCTTGGGTGAAGATCTCTTGGGTGTCTCGTGGGCCGTCTCGGACGCTCCCAAGACCACAAAATCGAGTGTGCTAAAGTGAATTCAAAACCTTAGTGAACAAATCAATGGTTTCACCTCTCGGTGACCTATTGGATGTGCTTTTGGAGCACTCTCGGGGCGTCCTGGGCCGTCGTGAACGCGTCTGGGGGCGATTTTTACGCCGCCTTGGCCCGTCTTGGGCACGCCGTGGCCACTTCGGCGGTGTGCTGGCGCCGCTCGGATGTCGAAATTATGCGTTTCGACATCTCTTGAAGCCGAACTGCGGCCGGACCTGGGACAGAATAAGGTCCTGACCGAACATGAGGCCCTTCGTCGGCCAAACTGAAGAATATCCGAAGGTAGCACACCCCAGGATGCACAAGCACGTCCAAGAAGCACGAAGAGCATCAGGGTACCCTCCCCGAACCGTCCTCGATCTCATACCTCGGTCCGACCGCAACCCTTTTCTTCTCTGGTCTTCGAAGAGGGGCCCCAGACGCCCGGGGCGAACGTGGTCGGACGGGACTAAGGCGAGGATAGATCCGTTCCAGAGCGTGCCAGAACGCTCTCAGAGCATTCCGGAACGCTCCGAGAAGGCCGCAGCGCCCGAGACATCCTCCAGAGCCGCCGCATCTCAGAGATTCTCGACTTATCCTCACCCGAGTGTATCCTCGTCCTGGCTTCGTCTTACGTGGGTAAAGGGGGGAGTTTGGGAAGAGTGAGCTGCCCCAAGGTCCGGGGGCCCAGACTCCGCGAGAGCCCCCTAAGCGGCCCCACACACCCACAAAAAACACCCGAAGACGGCCCTGAGAACGCCTCCAAGAGGCAATCCAAGCGCAAACAACGTTGATGTTCCAATGATTGCTATATGATGTGTCGGTACTCGGCTCTTAGATGTTCCAGGCGTCCGAGAACCTCCACAAGGCCCCGAACATCGTCCCAGAACAACCCGAAAGCGCCTTCCAAGAGAGCCCCAAAACTGCTCAACAGGGCTTCAAGATGGCCCGAAGAGAGCCTCATAACGGCCCCACCCCCGAAGCACACAAAATCGTGACCTGCTCGTTGAGGGAGACCGTGGTTTGCAGCCAGGTGGCCCGAGGAAGCTTGTGTGTGCAAAGTCAGAGCCATAATCTAGTCATGTTTATGTGTGTGTGTGTTTTGTGGTTTTTGTGTTTTTAATGTTCCGTCCGGTATTTTTTTTTTGCGTGTTTGTGTTTTGCTGTGTCTTTTGGTGCTGTTCCCCACCGGACCAGGGCTCGCTAGATTAAAAAAACAGACCTCCCGGCCACTCCCACCCTGCATACCGCGGCCACCAAACCCCAAGTTGTCCCGAGTGTCCCGGTTATCCCTCCTTGCGCCCTCGACAAACACAACAAAACACACCCTGCATACCGCGGCCGCCAAACCCCAAATTGTCCCGAGTATCCTGGTTATCCCGCCTCGCGCCCTCGACAAACACGACAGAACACACCCTGCATACCGCGGCCGCCAGACCCCAAATTGTCCTGAGTGTCCCGGTTATCCCGCCTCGCGCCCTCGACAAACACGACAGAACACACCCTGCATACCGCGGCCGCCAGACCCCAAGTTGCCCAGAGCGTCCCGCTTATCCCGCCTCGCGCCCTCGACAAACACGACAGAACACACCCTGCATACTGCGGCCGCCAGACCCCAAATTGTCCCGAGAATCCCGGGTGCCCGCCTCGCGCCCTCGACAAACACGACAGAACACAATATGACACAACAGAACATGACAGAACAGAGCAAGAGCATGACAGAACATGGCAGAACATAACATATCAATATCATGACAAAATAGAGGACACCAGCATATCTCAGAACATACCCGAGTAGAACATGACATAACAGATGTGTTTTGTGTTTTTTCGTGCATGTGCCGCAACGGTCTGGACAGTCACGCAAGGGAGGGACGACGAAGAAGAGATGAGGGGAGGTCTGATACAAAAGCCTCGAGGGCCACCTCTGGGGCCAACCAAATGACGGAGAATGGGGGCAGGGAGTGGCTAAGGATAGAAAAGGGGGGCGAAGGATAAAAGCGGGAGGGGAACGCGAGCGGCGCACCGAGGAGCAGAAGCTGAGAGAAAAGAAGCTCTTCGGTTGATCATACCAAGAAAAGGGCGAGGTTGATGACTCATTGAAGGCTCTGACTTTGCACACACACACACACACACAAGGAAGCCTTCAGACTCAGAGGCCCCCAAAAGGCGCCCACCAGATCTCAAGGAGCCCCGAAGGAGCCCCGAAAAAGGCTTCGTGAGGCCCCCGGCTTTCCAAGGAGGAGCCGCCGCAAAAAAAGCTGGCGACGGGGAAGGGTTCACAGGGTAAGGCGAGAACGAGGACAAGGAAATATGAGGGAAGGAAAAAGAACATCGCACTATAACGCTGCAAAAAGGAATTGTCGCTGTTCTTACTGTTTGACCTATATCTCTCATCCCGCCTGCAGGACCGACATTGAAGTACCGAGGTGCAGGGCGCGCAACGCCAATTCAGTCTGACACGTGTATGCATGTATGTATGTATGTATGTATGTATGTATGTATGTGTGTGTATGTATGTATGTATGTATGTATGTATGTATGTATGTATGTATGTATGTATGTATGTATGTATGTATGTATGTATGCACATTCGTACGCATTTATACATACATGTGTATACTTACTTATGTATGCATGCATGCATGCATGTATGCACGTATGCATGTATGCGGGTATGAATGCATGCAACTATGCATGTATGCATGTACGTTTGTATGGATGTATGTTTGTATGTTCGTATGCATGCATGGATGTACGTATGGTCGTATGTATGTATGTATGTGTGTGCATGTTTGTATGTGCGGATGCGTGTGCGTATGTGTGTATGTATGCATGCATGCATGCATGTATGTGTGTATGAATGTATGTGTACGTATGGATGTATGCATGCATGCATCACATGTCTGTATGCATGTGGGTATGTATGCATGTACGTGCGTACGTACGTGCGTACGTGTGCATATATGCATGCATGCATGTATGCATGGATGCATGCATGTATGTATGCATGTATGTATACATATACATATATATGCACGTATGTATGCGTGCATGCATGTGTGTACGCATGCGTGTATGCATGTATGCAGGCATGCATGTCTGCATGTGTGTATGGATGTGTATGTGTATGTATGCATGCATGTATGTTTGTACATATGTATAGATACATGTATGCATGCATGCATGTCTGGCTGTCTGTCTGCCTGTATGTATGCATGCACGCATGCATTTACGCATGTACGTATGCCTGTCAGTCTGTATGTGTGTATGTATTGATGTATGTATGTTTGCATGCACGTATGTACGTATGGATGTCTGCATGTATGTGTGTATGTAGGCGTATCGGTACGTATGCATGGATGGATGTAAAAATGTCAGAATCAATATTACATACATGCTGGCACATACACATAGAACTCATTATTCGTGAACTGACGAGTATGTAGGTGTACGTGTATACATGTACTTGCATGTGCGTGCATGCTCACGCACGCATGCATGCCCATGATGCACCATCGAATCTGCCCTTCTCGCGTCCTCTCCCCGCCCCGCCGGCGTCCTGGCACGATGCCTCCGACGTTGAAGATCGCAACGGTCGAATCTATCAGACCTGGGCAGGCGCCAACCGCACACCACCTACGCCGATCCTACAAGACTCGTCAACAGTAACATTACGGTTTTTGGTTTCGGTGCTTGCGTGGTCGGTGCTACTTCAATGCTGCCATGAGGTATTCGGCCCAAATGCAGAGGTGTCCGAAATCTGGCAGTGCCATCACAGCATTGAAGAACGCGTTTTCTGACAAGTGCCCGAACTATCGAGCGCTTCGATTTTGAGCAATCTTTCAATTTATTCTTGACGAGACTTGTATTCTGGGGAAACCAGAAAGTACCGATACCGCTACTCCGCGGACCTCTCCAAGGGCGCGTCATGACCAGGATTTCGAGGCGAATCCAGCCGTGGCGACGAGGGCCTCCCAGCAGGCCCAAAAAGGGGAAAACGGAAAGAGAGCGGTATGGGTACCTTTACCTCCCTTCGGGGACCTACTGACCCGGGTCACTCCAGACCCAGGTCAGTCAGGTTTTTTGCAAGATCCTGCAGGATCTTGCACCCAAACTCGGGTCAGTGCAGCCCTGGCTCTGCAGGATCCTGCAAAATCAAGCGCTTTCACTGACCCCCGTTTGCATTGACCCCCGTCTCTTGAGCTGAGACGAAGCCAGGACGAAGATACAATCCAGTAGAGATACGTCGACACGTCGAGAATCGTTGAGGTCCAGCGGATCTGGAGGATGTCTCGGGCGCCGCGGCCTTCTCAGAGCGTTCCGGAATGCTCCGAGAGCGTTCAGGAACGCTCTGGAACGGATCGATTTTCGTCCCAGCCCCGTCCGAAATGACGCATCCTTCTTCGCGAGGTCGCCCAACTTCGCGCGTCGCGCGTCCTCATCTTCGCGCCCCAGCGCCGCACTTCCCGGAGAGGGCCTGGATCCTCCTCCCTGAGCCCCGACCGGTGCGCCCCGGAACCCTTCCCCGATGGCCAGGCCGGCCCCGGGGCCCAGGATCGGTGCATCCCGCCCTGCGGACCCGGCCGGGAGGACGCACGCCCATGCGCGCGCCGATCCTTGGCTCCTGATTGGCAGGGCCAGGAACGATCGAGGCGGGCGGCTGTGACCTCTCCTCCTCGTCCTCCTCCCTTTCCTCCTCCTCATCCTCCTCCTCCTTTTCCTCCTCTTGCTCCAACGCCTTTTCATCCTCCTCTTCCTCCTTCGCCTCCTTCGCCTCCTCATCCTCCTCCTCCTCCTCCTCCTCCACCTCCTCCTCCTCCTATTCCTCCTCCTATTCCTCCTCCTCCTCCTCCTCCTCC